ATCTCCTCTCCTCATCCCCTCTCTCTCCACCCTCTCTCCCCATCCTCTCTCAATCTCCTCTTATTCTTATCACTACCTTTCTCTCCACCATATCTCTCCCCATCTCCTCTCCCCATCTCCTCTACCCGCCCCCACCCCGGGATAGGTCATGGTGCCCAGACAGGACCATGGTAGAGGCGCGCAAGTACATCAGTTACTCCCAGGGCGAACGTTTCACGGAGGCCGTGGTCCTTGATATGGAGCTGATGCTGGAGGAAACCACGCCGCGCATACCGCTCATCGGCCTTCTCAGCATGGGCTCAGACCCCACAAATGAAATTGAGAATCTCTCCAAAAGACTGGAAATTGGTCAGTGGCTCTCCCATTGGTGGTTCTCCCAAGTATCAGCCAGTCTAAAAAGACTTGCCAACTGTCCCCAGCGTTTGACCATTCGTGTATAGCTTGTATTAGTCAGTGATTCTTCCAAGTCTCTTGACCATTCATGTATCGAAAATATCAGTTTCCGTAAAGCTTGCCAACTCGACGACCTTTTAACTATTCATGTTTAGCATGTGTTTCTCCCCAGTCTTTAGACCATTCATAGCAAGTATCAGTCAGAGGCGTCGGTAGTCTCGTGGTTAGGCTACCAGACTCACAATCGTGAGATAGTGGGTTCGATGGTTCGAGCCTCAGTCCCGACGTGGTGTCCTTGGGAAATCCACTGTACACAAACAGCTTTTTGACCATATCGCAAGCCAGTAGTCGGCTTCAGGCTTGCCAACTGTCCAACGTATCCCAGGGTCGTCCCGGATTTAGTTATTGGAAATTTGAGAGGACATTCTAGCCTCCATCTCTTCAAAGGGCCGAATTTCGTACCCTTTTTTAGTCTTTGTCGGCTCTTTCCAGCTATGCAATGTGATATTATAACGTTTGGTAACCCTGATTCGTTTTCGAAAAAGTTGGCAAGCCTGCAGTCTTCACTGCCGTCCGTTTTACCACAAGCGAATGACATTGAGGCTATCAGGAAGAAGCGCGACATTAGGACATTGGGCAGGGATTCTCCTTTGTCTTTATTTCATTCATTTTTACGTCTACCCTCTTGTCTATCCTTTCGTCATCAATTCTCACTGGAGGCATCAATCAGTTCTCTTTTCAGGGCATCCATCTGTCCTCCATTGATCTCTTCGGACGAAAATCTATCTTTCCACGTTATGTTCCCTCTAATCACAAAGATGCCTTCTCTTTCTTTGTATTGTGTGTGTGTGTGTGTGTGTGTGTG